GAAGTACCAAGAAGACCTTATTGACCAATCCTCATGCTATCGGCAAAACTGATCGCGACAGCTAAGGTCGTGTAGTACAACAATCTGCTCAGACCTGAAGAGTTAGTTTAAACCGAATAGTTATGTATTTTCCTATTGCTTGCAAAAATATATTTAAAACGATAAATCTTGGCTTATAAGGTTTTGTAAACAGACGAAACTAAACGTGGTAAGAACGGTCGTGGCCAAGCAGACGAGTCACGATTTGGAAGCTTCTCTTCTCCTGACTCTTCCTGATTTTACCCCGCCTACCAGTTATTATACCACTCTCCATTATTTAATTTTTCCCCCTTCTTCCTGATGATGTACATTCGTCCTCCTGCAGTCACGCGTCTCCGTCCTGCTCCAACGGTGCGAAGAACGGCCGAGCGATATGAGCAACTTCCGAGAGATTCTGAGTCGACCGGTCTTTCAAAAAATCAAAATAACAAATGACGAGAATCGAAAGAAATTTGTCATGTGATACTGTTTGTGTATTAAGAATAAAAGAAGCGTAAGGAAATTCCGATTTTTGTAATTTTTAAATAGTAAATTTTGCTTAGGTTGTTTATGAACAAGTATACAAAACGACCACTCTTTTTAGTACTCTAATAAACAATTAGAAAAGGATTTATAATTATTACTATTACTACAATGTATTTATTGTTTTATTTATTTTTTTTTATGGTGGGTTTTTTACTACGTGGTCATATCAACCCTCTAGGTTCCGGAGTTTAAAAAAAGCCTGTTTGTAAGCACCCTGGGTTTAGTTTAGTATTACCAAATTTATATAATATAGAGTTAAAAAATAATTTAATTAGAAAATTATTAAATTTTTTATCATTAAATTTAACGGAATCTGTGTGTTATTCTTTGGGCATCAGTTTTTGAGGCGCGTGCGCGTGCCTGAAAGTCTACATATTTAGATCCATCTGTATAAATATTTAATTTCAATTAAGTAAAGTTTTGGTTGAGATAAAAAAATCAGTGTCACAAGCGGGATTCGAACCCACGACCTTCGGCTAAATACGCCGCTACTCAACCACTTGAGCTGCCGTGGTTCCACTCGGACACCAACTTCCGTCTCAACTCCACCTTTTGAATTTTCTCTCCTTTTTACCATTTTTCAAATGTCGTGTAATATATTTGATTCTCGGCGACAAATGAAATGGCCACGAAGAACTTTAGCGAAGTATACTTCATTTTGCTTATTACATTTATTAGGTTTAGTGGTCAGCTTGACCAAATAAATTATTTTCAATTAATTAAGTTTTTGGTTGAGATAAAAACAGTCAGTGTCACAAGCGCAGCGGCGTATTTAGCCGTGGGTCGTGGGTTCGAAACCAGCTTGTGACACTGGCTTTTTTATCTCAACCAAAACCTTAATTAATTGAAAATAATTTGTTTGGTCAAGCGGACCACCAAACCTAATAAAAAATTTATTTATTAGGTTCATTAAATTTTGTTTTAACTATTTAGTAGCAGTCGACCGGGTAATGTTCCGTTTAGGAATTATCACGCTGATCTTCATGGTTGTGAGTTCAGTAAATTCATTTATAAGAAATAAATAATAAGGTTTTTTGAAATTCAAGGAGGACATTTCACGACCTTTACATTCCAATTCGTTCAGGTTGGACAATTCCACCGTGGGAAGGTTGTTTTTCTCCTTGCAACCGTAGTTGGTTCATTCAGTTCCGAGTAGGAAAAACCCTATTGGACAACAAAGAAGTATTTTGACAGATTCGATCTGTGTTTAAAGAGTAAGAAACGATTATATTCATATTTGGCAAGAAAAGCGTGCCAGAGTAAATTGCCATGTTTTAACGCCGTTTGGATCAAGGAGAGCCTGGTCCTGCTGCACGATCGTAGATCACGAACGATCTCGTTATGCCACCAGGTTAAAACATCCCGAAACCAGGGGGTACAGTCTTTATTTTGTTTTGAGTCCCTTTGGCGAAATAGACTTTTTATATGATTTGAAATAATCATTGATAGTTTTTTGGGTAGTTTAAAACCAAAAGAACATACGTTGTAAGGATTCTTTGTGCTCTCGTTTTTTTCTCTCTATCGTTTACCATTATGAAAGCGATTGAATAACCTTATGAAATGGGATTTTTATGGTAAAAATGGGAGTGGCCGGTTGGCGTACTTTCGCTCCGTTTTATCCCTCCGAGATGTCGACACGGGCACAACTTTCTGACCCAGTTTTTTTTCCGCGTCTCGAAGCCCCCGGAGAAATGTCGAAGAGGTCGTTACGAAATGAGCAGAACTGGATGGCCGAAATTGTAGACGACCGGGATCGACATTTAGTGGCGACTTTAAGAGAAAGCCGGGGTTGAAATATTACAACTTTTTGAAGTGTTTCCATTCTTGGAAGTTTCAGTGGAAAGGTAGGATATCAACCATATATGTAGTAAAGCTGGTATTTTCAATAGATGAGGTGATAGACGAGTTAGAAAAAATGTAGCTTTTTAAGATTATTGTTTGTCTTGTTTGTCGTACAACTCGGAGCAAATTCATACAAGTCTTGTATGCTATGATCATTCGCGTTACAAACAGCGAAAATCGGCGGACCGAGATGATCACAGACTATTAACTTGCTAAAGTATAAAAGCTCAATACAAAATTATAAAAACTTCAATTCATCCCTGAAAAAAAATCACAAGATAATTTCCCTAATAGTCCAAAATATTCATGAGCCGAGGTAATTTGTTAAAAAATAAAGCTGACCCTTTACGCAGTTGACCGGGCAATGTTCCGTTTAGGAAATTATCACGCTGATCATCATAAGTATGATTCGGGCACGCGTCCAGGAAAGAAAAACAGACGGCTTTAAGCTAGCGCGAATTAGCTTTCACTAGAATTTCAAGAAAGAAAGTTGCCCAAATTATATTTCTCACATATCGCGAGCGGAAGGAGCGGAAACTGGCCTCCTTATCCGGAGTATAGGGGGATTAATGTTTTTTTAAAATGTTTAATAAGTTACGTAAAAATAAGCGGCTGGACTGGATTTTTGCCGTCTGTCCCAGGCCTTTCACCGAGAGCGCATTCTACGCGGTCGCTGACATGTAAACAAGAGTTCACACGAATTTTCTCCAACGCTCAAAAAAAAATTTCCATAATGAAAATTACATAAAAGATAAAATAATAATTTTTTAAAATTGTACAAAAATATTCTTAATAATACATTCTTTTATTCTTAACCCGCTCCATTTTGGTAATTTTTTTGTTGTATTGAATTATTTATGAGAGATTTTGTAGGTTTCGGTTCTCTTTGGAACTGGATGATGAAACATGTGTGGTCGTTACTCATCACATAAGAAATTGTTTAAAATTTATGATCACAAAGCTTGCTTATTGATAAAGCATTCATTATAATAGAAAGAAACAAAAAACAATGAAAACTGAACTTATCAAATAATACATTATATGTCAAGCCAATGTTCATCTTTATAAAAAAATACAGTACAAAGTCATTCGGTCCGTCCATTGTCGCTGGTCAATTTTATACAAAAAATTACTAACTCAAACAATTTATGTGGCAGTTTGGTCGTTTCCGGTCATCTTTTGATCTGCCTATCGGTCTCTGGACAGACCAAAATGGTCGGAAACGTCCAAAGACAGGTTCACCCCGCAGACCCCATGACGAAGCATCTTAACTTAAGTAAGTAATTCATTACAGTTCGTGGTCCGATTGACCTATTGACATTTTTCAATTAATTAATATTTATGAAAGTTATTGGTCGAGATAAAAAAGTCAGCGTCACGAGCGGGATTCGAACCTACGATCTTAGGCTAAATACGTCGCTGCTCTACCAATTGAGCTATCGTGACTTCGATCCGCTCGGACACGAACTTCCCATCTCAACCGTGGCCATTTCAATTGTCGCGGAGAATCAAATAGATTACACGGCATTTGAAAAAATGGCAATAGGAGGGAAAATTCGAAGGTAGGTTGAAGTGGAAGGTTGGTGTCTCAGTGGATCGAAGTCACGATAGCTCAAGTGGTAGAGCAGCGGCGTATTTAGCCGAAGATCGTGGGTTCGAATCCCTCTCGTGCCACTGACTTTTTATCTTAACCAAGCCTTACATAAAGATTAATTAATTGAATAGTCGTACAGGTTATTAGTCATATTTTGTAGTGTACGCAAAAAATGGCAAAAAGGAGGGAAAATTCGAGAGGTAGCCCAAGTGGTAGATCAGCGGCGTATTTAACCGACGATCGTGGATTCGAATCCCGCTCGTGACCCAGACTTTTTTATCTCGACCAATAACTTTCATAAATATTAATTAATTGAATTTTCCTAATATTTATTTATTTTTGCATGCTTGGAAAATGTTGAAAATGTGTTTTTAAATAAATGAAAATAAGAATACATTTGCCTATTTTTTTAAAAATATAAAACTCATATTGAAGAATAGTTGCATAGTGCAACAAGAACAGCTTTTGAAAATTGCAATGTTGCTAACAATTTACAAAAGGACGTAGAAATTGAAAGTAGACGTCCTTGTTGAAATAATTCTTCTGTTAGAATCTATTCAAAAAAAGAAACTGCTTTATTATCTGCAGTCACTAGTTTGGTATTAATGACAATATCAAATTTTGTTAATTATATGTATCATTGGTTAAAAAATTATTATTATTGTTAAAAAAAGCAAGTTTTGAAGATGTGAAAACTTGTTAATTTTGTATTAGGTTAACAATTGATAGGCAGTCATTTTCTAGAGATTTTCTATAAATTTAAGGACTAATTTAAATATTTCAGAATTTTCTTGTACTTTTTAGTGTTAGTAAGTAAATTTTCAGATTTTAGGGAGTTGTTAAATTTTATGCACACGATATCCTTTATCGTCCCTAGTGAAGTTCGTTAATCGTTAAAGTCTCCGGAAGTGCTCGTAATCCGAATGGCCGGCGTCACTCACACGCGAGGATTGAAATCACTGACACTATCACCTTAAATTAATCAGATTGATCTACTTACAAGTAAAAGGATCTTCATTTCCTAACCCACACTGGACACTTTTCACAATATGCCCGTGATGGTAGGCCGCTCCTTTTATAACTTCAGAGAGAGAGTCCTTCCCTTCCTCCGATCCTGGACTCCCACCCGACTCGCCTGGACCTAACGAAGTACACGGTAACAAAGTATCTTTCTGGCAGCCTGTGAATCATGAAATGGCACAACTTAGTTTTCTTTCGTAGAAAACGATTCTAATTTTTAACAATCCTTACATATTTCCGTTTTTAAAAAAATATTTAGGATCCTGTTTATCAAGGTGTTTCTCCCACTTTGCAGCAAAGATTTGGCATTGAAGGATTGAATTCCTTAATAAACACAGATTTCAGCCGTCATGGAATTTTTATTTTCATCAAAATTGCCTAGATCCTTATTAACTTTAAAGATTTTTAGTCTTTAAATCCTGAGGGCGAAATTTGCCAAGTACACGTCCTCTTAGGTTTATCAAGGCCTCGTTAGTTCACCAGTGCTTAAAAAGGGTTTATGCATGCAACCCCCGTCCAACCTCTAACCTTTGACCAACCTTGTTCCGATATTCGCCCTCCTTGTTATTCAAAATTTTCTTAGGTGTGCTGTTTGTTTACAGGGTTTAAATGGCTTTGGATGAAATTAACATACTTTTACGAACTTACAGCCTTCTAGGTCATGAATCAGGAAGATTACACATCATTTTTGTTCTACCGATACGTTGCTCGAATTTCTGAGATTATCTTCATAAGCTTCTTTAATAAATGAAACAATTAATGTAACAACTTGGATTAAGAAAAGGCATAAGGACCAAAATATTTTGGTTTATTTCTTATATGTCGCTTATTTTCAGATATATGAGCTTAATTGTAGCTCCAAAAGATTTGGCAAAATTGTTTCCATTCCATTTTTTTGCGCTGACCTCTCTTATTTTGAGCTTTACAAGCATAATTCAGATTTCATTTGTTCTTGCTTTCCATGGAAAAGGCATGCTGAGTCGATCCACGCAAAAAATTTAACTGGTCGATCTCAAAATGACATAAATGCAATAAAAGATTTGAAAATCTTTTCTTTTTCGTATTTCTGCTTTTTAATGGCCCTGCTGAATTAACTATTAATTAAATTCAGCTCATAAATATCAAAAAGCTACATAAATGCAATAAAAAGAAGAAAACTTTTTCCTTTTTTCTCGATATATTTGTTCTTCTTTTCGATGAAACTGTTAAGTTGATTTGAATCAATTTGATTGATAGATTTGAATTTAACTGGTCAACCTCAAAATAAGTAACATAACGCAATAAAATCTTTAAAAAGTTCCCTTTTTCTGACGTATTTGTAGATCTGTTCAATGACCGTGCTGAGTGGATCGGCGAAAGAATTTAACTGGTCAACTTCAAAATAAGTGACATAAGTACACAATTATACAAAAAAAATCCAAACATTTCTTTTTCCTGAAGTATTTGTAGATGTGTTCAATGACCCTGCTGAGTGGATCGGCGAAAGAATTTAACTGGTAAACTTCAAAATAAGTGACATAAGTACAAAACTATACAAAAAAATCCAAACATTTCTTTTTCCTGACTCTGTTGTGTAAGAATCGCTCGCAGACTCCCAAATAAGCGAGATTAACAAACAAAGCAAAAAAAAAAAAAACTTTGTCCGTATATACACTCGTTTTAGACATAAACGACCATTTTGTCGAATGCCCTCAATTCGTATCAACCCAAGATCAGATTAACGTAAAGAGGACAAACAGTGGATGTTGGTATATTTTGATTTTCGATATGTTAATCTTTGTATGTAATGTGGTGGGAATTTCAAAATTCGATGGTACAACAAAACCGACTGACTCTGACAGAACGTGAAATTTGTCTCAACATTCAATAAAAATTCGCGTGAACCGTATGTGAAAACATACCTCTTCTGAATATATTGGGGGATTGCAACCTAAAGTCAAAAACATATTGTTAAATAATTAATAAAGCTTTATTCGGGTATAAAACCATAATCATTAACGAAATTCTAACAAGAAATCATATCAGTAATGATAATAATAATTTAGATAGGTACTGCAACTGTTAGAGATGTACCTAACAACGTGTAATAATGTAAAAATATTTTAAGGGCTCAGAAAAAAGACAAATTAATTGTACTGTTTAAAAATACAATAGAAATAAAAAAATCTGTGAACTGTGACAAATATGTTAGCTGAAAGCTAATTAAACAAACGAATTATAAACAGAGTGATGAAAGATTTTGATACTATAGAAAATATTTAAGAAGTTGTTTCTAGCCAAATTTTGAAATACCCAAATAAAAAATTGCTTTGTTTTTTTTTAATTTAAAAAATTAAAAATTATTGTAACTTGCGTAACTAAACTATTAGTTTCAAAAATTGCTTAATTATATTTTGTACTTATTACAAGTATATTTACTAAAAATGCGTGTAGAATAATTTTTAATTTGAATTAAATATGTGAATATATATAATAATAATTATTTTTTGCAGATTTATGATAAATGAGTAAATGTATTGGCTTTGTATGATAACCAAATGACGATTATAATTTTTGATCTCGTCTATTCTACAATCATAAATTCGTTACGTTCGAAGCTGTATTTTTTAATGTTGTAAGTAGATGTTTGCATTTGTTAAAAGTGTCAATCATTAGCAATAGTTGACAAGTCCTGATGAAGTGGATATAACATTCGAATAATTTTGCTCTGATTTTTTTTTTTTAAATATAAAACGAAAAATAAAACATCAACTTTACTTTTTCTCGACGTATTTGTACTTGTTTTTACAAGGAAACGACTCTCTGGAGTCAATCCACGCAGGAATTAAGCTCTTAATATTTAAAATCAGCGAGTTAAATCCGAAAAATTGACGTATATATACTCGTTTTCTGTAAAAGCGCTAAAAAAAATTTTTCGTAATTCTGTTGCTTCCAGCGCTGATCGGTCAGCAATACCGTGAAATGTTTAATGGATTTTGACAGTAATATCGCCTAAAATTAAAGTTGATTAATTTTCGGAATTTATTGTTCTTTTAAGCCATCTAGGGGGGGATCGCAGTAGCCGATTGGTTAGCGCGATAAACGTTGGGCTCGTTGACCCAGCGGTCGTGGGTTCGATTACCACGTCGCCAATGGAATTTCTGTCTGACTCTTCTTTTTTTTCTTTTGACTCTTTTTCTCCTGGAAGTGTATATTTTTTTTACCTTTTGCACGTTTTAATGCACCTGATCATTTGGCAAATCTGTAAAATTGGTTGAGAAATTAAATCAATAACACTGCACAAATTGACAATCTACTAGAATCTTGGTGATATCTAAAAATGTCCAATAGCTAACCAATTAAACAGAATATAACAAGTTTGGTAGTGTTTTAAATCATATTGTCTCGTTTCCATTGACATGTAGACATGACTCGAAAAAAAACATATTGCCCAAAGATCAGCTTTTCGATTTATTTATTTGTTTGACTATTTATTTCGGCCTATTCCACAGGTCCCTCTTCGGGATTTAAGAAGATGAAATCATACCATATAATATCTTTGGCGAGTGTCAATGTAAACCAGACAATATGATTTAAAACACTACCAAACTTTTTATAAGAGTTCGAAAGTTCAACCCCAACCCTGGTTATAAAAATAAAGAAAAAACAAATTAAGAGGAAGGAATTTTAATCATATTGTCTTGGATTGTTCAACTATAATCCATCGTCTTTTCTTGAAAGAATGTCTTTAATGATTATTCAGAGATCGTGCGGTCTGGTGTGACGTAGGTTTTAGAAAAACATTTTCTTTATCATGCCAACGTTTCGATCTCTATTGAGATCAGCTTCACGTGGGATTTATAAACATTGTTTAAATTTTACAAACACATGTAGGATGTGAAAAAAATGAATTGATACAATGCTAGAAAATTTTAGATTAAAAATAATGAATTTATATTATTATTATTTTTTATCTAAAATTTTCTAGCAATTTTCTTGGTAATGATTTCTTAAACAACCTAGTCAGAGCATATCCAACAAGTTTTTATAGTTTTGATGCTTCTGTCATGTCATTTAAATTGCAAACAAATAAATTTAAAGAACAGTACTTCATCAACTTTAAAAGTAATCATTTCAACTGTTGATTCATGTTTATGTGAAACCTTTGTAAACATTATATTATAGTGTTGGCGCGTTTTGGATTAGTGTAATTCCTAATCCAGTTCGTACGTTCCTAACAGATCTGGTCCTGTCCTTCTCCTGTGATCTTAAGGTTCCTTACGCCTCTCTTTTCTCATGCTTTTCTCTCTCTTATTATTAATTACACGACTCTCCGAAGTATTCACTCTCTGTGCTTTGAAATCGTTATCTTCCACCTGAATATCATCCGTGATGCTGCGGTGAGGTCAGAGGAATCGGGCCCGAGCACCCTACGCCTCGTGCAGCCGTCGTCTGAAGGAAGGTGGTAAGTACCTTATGAATCTCTCTCCCATAGTTTATTTTAATTTCGAGTTTTTCAAAAATTTATTTGATTTATTAACTTTTCATTCTCATTTTTTCTGATTATTTCTTTTCTTTACACCGTAGTGGCCGTAACAATAGTTTTTATTTTTTTACTGGGGTTCGCATCAGCAGAGGGCATATCAACCCCTGTGTAATGGTGTTTTTGGTGTTTTCGAAAAAAGCCCATTTTTAAGTATGTCGAGTTCGAATGCTTCCCATTAGATTTTAGTAATTACTTGTTTTGTGGCAATTAGACGCTAGTAGGTAACATGTGTTCGAAACGTTTTCTAGCATTCAAGGGAGTATTTGCGTTCAGAAAATTTGCTTTTTTCTATTTTTTATTATTTTAACCGGTTCACTGTTGCAACGTAGAAAATAGTACCCGATGGTTGGAGTCGTTGCCGTTTTGACAGAAGATAGATGAACCCTTGCAAAAAAATCAATAGTTGAAGAAGAAAAAAAACAAGTGGTTAACCAGAGTTCAGTGTTCGACTAGGTTCAAACTCCGTTGTCAAACTCTTTCCCGTGACTTTTTTCGAATAAATCTAATGGATCTTTTTTGCGCATCATAGTCATCTAGGATGGAACGTGTTTCGCGCGTA